AGTGAAATTTTCCCGACCAAAAAGTTTGGTCGCCAATTATCACATTGAACGACCAAAAATTTTGGTCGCCAATGGTAACATTCCGCGACCAAAAAATTTTGATCGCCAATCGTGACATTCCGCGACCAAAAAAGGTTTTGGTCGCCATTTGTTAATTTTCGCGACCAAAATTTTTTGTCGGCAAAAGTGAGTTTCCACGACCAAGAGCTGTTTTGGTCGGCAATAGATGTATTTTTTGCGACCAAAACTCTTGGTCGGCAATTGTTATTTTTTGCAAAAAAAAATAATTTATTTGTCACGACTACTAAATTGGTTGCCAAAGCAAGAAAACAATACACCTGTAATTCCTAATAATTCATTCAATCCATAATAAACCTATAATTTTAAAGCATCATTCAAATTAACTGAATCATTAACATTCGACACAATACATAATTCATTAACATTCGACACAATACAACTATTCTAAGTTTTCATTCACAAGTCACATCTATCTAGAATAACAAATTGAAACAATACATAATTCAGATTTACAGCATCAGGAAAATTGCTTAATCCACTAAGTTGCCTTGATAGCCAATCAAAAAGATCCTTGCGCCCTTCCGTGCCAAGCTTCGCATCCATCAAAGCAGTAGTGATGTAAGGCACCTAATAAAGAAATAGAATTGGAAAATTTATCAGAGAAGCATGATAGTGGCAGCAACACTGGATTGCAAACCCGTATCTTTGCAAAAATCAATTAAATCCTATAAACATGTACATCGAATTGAGACAACTAGCTAGGGGTGGGCGCGGATCGATTGCGGCCACGGAACCTCTAATCCGTCATCCGTCCGCCAGATTGGCGGATTGGAGAAAATCAATCCGCATCCGTCCGCCAATCCGGCGGATGCGGATTGAGCGGATGAGCAGATTGGCGGATAGATACAAATCGGTTTGGTGGTTTAAAAGTTTACAAATTTTCAACATAATTTAATTGTGTGCGCACTTCCTAAAAAAAAAAAAAAAACAGGGCATAATTCAAGTTTGCATAATTTAATATTCAAGTGGGATAATTCAAGCGTGCATAATTCTGGTAGTGGCATAATTCAAGTGTGCTATGCATAATTCCAGTGGGCATTTCTTAAACAACTTGGGCAATGCAAAAATAACCATGTGATGAATTGTTGCACCGAATTCCATTCCAACAGCAGCCAGAAATCTAAAAAAACTTGGTCAAATGAATTCCAAATGAATTCATGTGACCGCCACTTGGTCAAATGAATTTCATCCCAACAGCAGCCAGAAATGAATTGTTAAACAACTTGGTCAAATGAATTTTTGCATGAGGATTCAGGAATACAGACGTGAGAAACCAACAGCAGCTAGAAATCCAAAAAAAACCAAAAAAAGAGGTTTCATTTGACCAAGAATTATTATTTCAAGGATTACCACTTCTGAATAATCAAGAACATTTGATATTTCGGTTAAAGAACTGGGACATCTAAAGCTTGCTCCCAAGTGACCCCAAAACTAGTATGCAGGCTGAAAACTTGATGCTAAATAAGACCTAAGATTTCTAGTTTCGGAAAGCAGTTAACACATAGTAGGAATGCAACTATGTATTCCAGAGGTGGGAAGGGATTCACATCCTTACATTGTGGAAATTATTCCCAGGTAAATTAGAAAACTCCAGACAGAAATGGCTTCTTATAACCCAGTCAAGGACATGCATTTAAAATCTCGCAGTGGTGAATCGAGAAGACCATAGCTAGGACCCTTCAACTCATGTTTCAGCCTATATTCAAACCCAGTCCCTATTTGAGTAAGGCTTTCCTTTGATTGCTGAAAGACCTGGGGCTAAAAATAAACGTAAAAATGTATATTTATTCAAACTTTGAATCTCAAATCTTGTGTCATTTGGAAACCAAGAGAAGATAACATCCAGCAGTGGAGTGCAGATCATTTTAATTTTCACTATAAGAAACAACATAAAACACAATTTTTTATTTCATTTTTGTTTCTTCTCCTTTATCAGCAATCAACCCCACAATAAATGAGGCGTTAGAAAGAAACCATAAACAGGACTAGCATATACTTTGTGTTTTTGGAGGTGCATTAACTGATGAGCAGGGATGTATTCTTGATTGTATTAATCAAAGCAAGAAAGAACACATATTGGAGCCTCTCATATGCAGATATCATTCAACAATAATATAACTATTAACAATTTAGGCATAAGAATGGAACTTACAGTCATTATTCGTTTGCGCTGCTACAAGTAAAATTTGGACAGAAACAACCAGCAAACAGATCTGAATTCTTGAACCCATTATTCAAGAAAGAACCACAGAGATTCTTGAGCTCACTGAATTACAATGAAAACACTTCGCAACCACTCAATTCATTCCTTCAGTTCCTATTGTTCACTATAACTCTTAAATATAAGAAAGTTCTTCACAACTGTAATCAACATATGCATAGCTGCAATTAGAAACAATATGAAAGCACATGGATACACAAATTATTTGTTCAAGTAATTACAATACAACAATTGCAATCTAATTTTTCCTTCATAGAAAATAAATAAAACAGAATAAACAGCTGAAAGAGTTCTTATGCAAAGTATGCTGCCTCCAATTCAATAATGCAGATTCATATTAACCAGCCTTCAGTTTCTTTTCAATTGAATCAGAGGGAGAAAAGACCATAGATTTGAAAAGGTGGAGAAAAAAAAAAAGAAAAGAAAAAACTATTACCTCATCAACTCGATCAAGAGCCCCATTGCCCTGCAACCAATGGCAAAGATAAATTTATAGTATCTAAAGAGTCTGTCAACAAAAAGAAAGGCATTGTAAGAAAAACATACAATGGAGTCCACTAATACCTCTTCAGCATCCTCATTATCATATATCGAGTATCTAAATGCTTGGCTAAGATTATTTGCTAAAGCTGCTACATCAAAATCTCTGTCATGAAGATCATCCTCATCACTATCCCTTGTCCTATCTTGCAATGCAGTTGGGCGCCTGTACATCAAAAAGAAAGAAAATAAATAATTATCAGGAAGTAAAACAGGCCAACAAATATTGGGAGCAGGCTACAAAAGGGAACAAACACAGAAAATACAACGATGGTGGGGATTTTTTTAGTTTAGTAATGTGGGATATCAAAATTTTACTACTGAATCTTGCCAATAGCCATGTCCCCTTCCCTCTTATGCTACTTTTATGATAAAGTGCAATGAACCTCAAATATTTTGGATGCAAAAAGTAGCAACCAGATGGGCTGAGTTTCATCAGAGCAACAAGCATCATCCTGTACTGTGCACTGACATCCTAATCACACTATGCATTAAAACACAATCATAAGCATACCCGCAAGCCCATCTGTAGACATTTTCCACAATATTACACTCCTGCAAAATAGTAGTTTGCCAATCATTCCATTCGCTATTTTCCTGGAAAGCACAAGTGAGATTTTATCTCAGTCGAGAGATGTGTCCTCCATTCAACAGAACAAACAAAAGTATACTTGCTCAGTTTAGCCAACATAAGAAAATTCAATCTCTCTATCACACCAATGTTAGATTCAAGATACAGGAGAACCACTTCAAGCAGGCTTTTACAAGAACCAATTGTAATGAAAAGAAGGAAATTGAGACCTTATGAAGTGAGTCATACTTAATTGACAATCAACAATAATCATTTGGATATTAATATACCCCTGTTATAGTCGCATTAAGAGGGAGTAAAAAATCAAGATGATGAACATATGAATTTTGTGATCATGTAGCTTACAGAAAATTGATGTCTTCCAGGGTCGTCAGTATCATCTAGATATGAAAATGTATCACAAAATACGATCCAGATCTATGTCATGAAGATATGTATCTTTCTCACATATTGTAGGTACAACTACATTGCTAATACGGTGATCATGATCCTGATATAAAAACTTGTTTTTCTGTAAGTAGAACATACATGACTACCCAGAAATCATGATCCTGATCCATACAGTAATTTAATACTAAGAATAAATTAAACACAATCACCAACCTCTTGGTCAAGGCATTCAAATTTCCACACACTCTCACCCTCGTCCGTTATTTCATTCCACCACCTCAAACCAACCAAGATACGCCCGCTCACATTCTTGACTACCCAGAAATCAAGAGCAGCAAGAAGAACAGTGACCACAAAAATGATGACAAAGCTATCAACAAAGAGAGCTGAAAGTACGTAAAATGCCAAAGTTGCTGCCTGCCAAATCAACTAATTGTGATATTACAAAGAAAAATGGAATTACAATGTACACTAGTAAAAGACATAATTAAATAACCCATACCTTGAAGAGCACATGAAAGAAACATATTTGCGGGTTGGCATACACTGCTGGAAATTTTACATTTAGTGGCGTTTAAAAAACGCCGCTATTGGTGTAAGAAACGCCGCTAATTCTTTTTGTGACGTTTTGTACTAAACGTCGAAGATGCGGCCGTCGCTATAGCATTATGACGCTTTAAAAACGTCGCTAGAATTAGTATGCTAAATGTGATAGTATGGTAAAAATGACGTCATCCAATATTTAGCGACGTTTAAAAAACGCTGTGATAGATTTTTTCCTATTTTAAAAATAACCATTGACACTATAGTGGCGTTTTGGAAAAACGCCGTTATAGCTTCTTTTTTTTTTTTAATTTTTTTTTATTTTTAAATTGTGCTAATTTTGTTAGATTTAACTAAAAAACATAATTGTAATAAAGCTGAAAAATAACAATAATATGGATAAAACTTTACTGCTATTTTAATATATTGACTACATTTAAGCAAACATTACATGACTATTTCTAAACCAAAATCAAACAACAAACGCAACCAAAAAATAAAAGGAAAAAATATGTAAGCTGGGTGCACCATTTTTTTTATTTTTGGTCATGCCAATTCACGTGAGATTGTATCGGAACCTCCTTTATCCTCTTTCAACAGAATGTGTTGCCTCATAATATTGTTCTTCTAGTACTTCTCTTGAAGTCCCCACATTGTTTTGCAATCGCACTGACCTTGAACTGCCCTCACTACTCTGTTTCTGTGATATCACTTCCCTGGAGGAAGTGCCCTCCCGAGTTCTTCATCTCTTCATTCAACTTCTTCCCCAAGTGAACTTCTCTAAAAGACTCAGTCTCTCTTTCATGTTCCAAATCAGGGATTCCCTCCCTCTCTCTCACTTCATTTGAATCAGGACTCCTAGCAACTGACCCAAAATCTCAAGAAGGCTTAGCAGATTGGAAATGAGTAATATCTAGGCTGTGGTATTATTCACCTTGAGGAGGATGAAATTGAGTAATATCTAGGCTGCAAGCGTGGGGCAACTGATGCGAAGAAAACACCAAGTGGAGGCTTGGCTAATGAGAATTCTGCCATAATCTCAAGAAGGCTTCACTGACTTGCAACTGCCCATTGTGCATATTCATCCTGTAGATAGGAAAGATAGCGTTAAAAACTATGATGGATGAACCACTTTATTATGAAAACTCTGAACCAAAAAATTGCAAACCTTTCCAGCAGGAGATGCAAGATGCCTCAATCGCTCGGCTTCACTTGGATCAGAAGCATGAGCTGCCAGGGCAAGTAATGCAGACTGGAAAACACATACATTTAACAAATTAGTTAATGAGAGTTCACATATATAATATTATGAGCAACACATAACTAAACAAACAATGGCCCTACCTTCTTCGGAAAGCTCAAAAGATCCGCATATCGAGTCAGTGCCGTTCTTATGGTACATGCAGGGAAAGGAGGCAGCAATGAGCTACCACCAAGTGGAGTGCCATCCTCTTTATCGGTGTGAATGGAGAAATTTGTATCTGGTGATAAATCCATTAACCTTTCAGCTTCCTCCACAATGTCAATCACATTCTCACAGTACACGCCGACATGGTCCCCAGTTTCATATCTGTGGACAAAGGAAGTGAAGAAAGATAAATGAACAAAGTTGATTCATCATTAAATGCATGCCTTTTCTAATCCAATTTGTTTTAAATTTAAAGAGCAGGCATTTTCCATTTAAAGCTAAAGCAAAATCCAGTTGACAATTTGCTTACCAAAAATAAATAATATCACCTTATTCCAAATATACATCCATAATTAAGTGAATTAGAATTGCAACTTACACAAGTCCAGTTCTAGCAATGTCAAATTCTAGATGGGTGCAAGATCGATCAGAGGCAGCAGTATGAAGCTCCTTTTTCACAGCCACATTAGACCTTAATTCCAAGATAAAATATTTGTTAGGTTATAGAAGCAAAAGCATATAATTAACTGGCAACAGAAAAATTCAGGATTTAAAACATTCTTTTGGTACGTGCATGGATGTTGTGCATCATGAACAGCATGACCATTTGACATACTCATGCTCTTGTCCAATATTGATGCATCTGTGCCGTCATGATATACCACACGATATTCCAACACAGCAGCAGTGTAAGGAGTTGTAACAGTTGAACTGTCATCATCCTTAAGCAACTGATCTAACTCTCGCCAAAGTAATTCCCGCCTACATTAGCAGCAGTAACTAAGCTTTTATTTCTATATATCTTAAAGAAGTTGCAAAAATATATATGCTATGAGTTCCAGGTAATGATTCATGTTCTTAATACCATGCAGCAAAGTCATCTCCCATGCATTGATCATCATCTCCAAGACCCACTGGAACAAGACGCTTTCCACCTGTAAATGATAAACATAATCATGAGCAAAACAGAAATAAACACTAATTCAAGGTAACAAGAGCACGATTGGATGAGACAATGACACTTTACCCATCACCTAAAGGAATATAATTTCTCCATTAATATTTCAATAAGTCATCTTTTCACTCTTTGTTTATTTGCAAATGTAAAGCCCACTTCAATAGAGTTATATGGCATGGTACTCAATTCTCTTGGCAATCACAACAATGGGATGGATGTAAATTGGAGTATGTCCTAGAGTGAAGTCACTTACACAAACCTCCACACAACCAAACAAGACCTACATTTTTTTGACTAGCAACAAATTGTTTATTTCTGTACTATCTTAGCTATGCAAATAGTACAGTAAACATGTATATTTGCCTATGATAACAGAAATTACAAGAAACTGGGACTAAAATATTATTACAACGCATGTTTCAAACAGAAGGCAATAGCATGCATGGTTAGGACTAAATACAATGGTAACATTCAACAATTTATAGAGATGCAAGACACCATAATTTATCAAAAAAATTTAACGGTAATCAACAGAAGCAAATAAGTACTGCTATAACTTTTTCCATGTCCAATCCACAGTTTAGCATTCACTCCTCAAGTATAGTAACTTTTGTTCAAATTCCAACAAATTGACGCAAAAGGTCACTAGAGGAGAACAAAACAGGGATTCAAAACATACCCTGCTCATCAAGGACCTCATCCACGATCTTTGCTATCTATTTCCCAATAACACAACCACAAATACAAAATTTTAGTTAAGAATTACACTGCATACACACATAATATATACGTGAAATTGACCAAAACATGAAATGAAATGAAATCCAGACCTTGTTGAAATGCTCATATTGCCTGTTGCCAAGGCTAAACACTCCGTACGAAAGATTAAGCCATTTCTCTCTCCCTTTACCCTATAGGCAGTCATATAACACGTCATGAAACCCAAATCTCACTTGGTAGAAGAACCATAGTAACAATAAAAATTAGAAATTAATCAAAATTTACCTCTAAAAACCATTTATAGAACCTTGTAGAATTGTCAGTTGGCTCACCATCTCCATATCTATACCATAACAAACAAATAAATTAAATACAATGTTATATACCAACAATACACGAGTATGTATATATGTATGTATGTGATGTGAAGTAAAAACTCACGTAGCTAAAAAGAAAAATGCCACAGTTTCTTTCTTCAATTTCTCCTCATATTCTTCATCAGTGGCGGCATAATCATCCTATCAACCATTCATTCAATCAATAATCAACCCTAAAATTAAATTTTAAACAATTACATCAAAAAAAAAGGAGCAAAAAAAGTCAAACTCACCATATCAATTACTTTAAAGCTTGCCTTTTCGTATCTCGATTTACCTTCCTCAGCAAGTGCTTGAAAAGTTGAAAAAAACAGCAATCGAATCAGTCAAAGTAATTCAATGAATCCCAACCTGTTTGAGGAAGTGGTGGTGGTGGTGAATATGAATTCATATATAAATATGATGATGATTTAGGTCCTGCCTAATGAGAAGTCCTTGGATCACAACTTACAAACTGAATGAGAGGCGAAGATCTCTTCATATAATACATTTGAGTATTTGAATTCACTCCAAATGAATCCCAAGCAGTTTGTGGAGGTGAGTTCAACCCATACGAACCCCAAGTTGTTTGAGGAGGTGAGTTGAGTATTTGAATTCACTCCAAATGAATCCCAAGCAGTTTGTGGAGGTGAGTTCAACCCATACGAACCCCAAGTTGTTTGAGGAGGTGGGCATACTCCATATGGTCCTTCACCCCAACCCATCTGAGGAGATGGGTTCACCCCACATGGCCCCCAACCTGTTTAAGGAAGTGGTGGTGGTGGTGAATACGAAGGTTCTTCTTTAATTTCTGGACTACGATGTATATGAATATGACCCCGTGAAGAACCCAGTTCAGAATCAAACCCAGAAGACAAATCCAATGGGGACTAAACTGGGTGTACCATTTTTTTAAAATAGAAAAAACAACGGGATCAAAAGGCTTATCACTTTTATTAGTTTCAGTGTCGCCCCTGATTTGATTAAAATACACACGAAAATTATTGAGGCAAGAAACTTACAGTGCACTGCCCTGAAATGATTTTAGACACGTGACTTAGTTTGAGGTGTTTCTCCTCTTTCCCTGTGAACCATATTAGTACAGATTCATCCTGAAAGCAATAACACCACAGGTTCTAATTCTAAATAATTTTAGCAGTCAAACTCTACTTTCAGTGAATTGCA